AAGGACATAGTTTGGACTTATAAACTAGAACTCCCTTCTAGCCTAACCACAACTATGAACTAGCCTATCAACTACTTCTCCGGTCACGTCCCGTTGACTTATTTTCACACACTTACTCCCTAAATGTAAATCACAGAATGTTTGGATCAAAATAAAATAGATACATTCAAAACAATTTCAGTTCTTTGATACCGAGTATATCAAGAACTAAATTTAGTAAACAAAAACTGTAAGCACTGAAACTTGTAGCTCGAAGATGACTTATGTAAAGTTGACAATCTCAGCGGCCTTTTTCGATTTTCAAGTCTGACATACATACACACTCCTTAGGGTTGAAGTCTTCTTCAAGCATAGGACTCCATTCTCGATTTCCTTCCTAAAATGTAGCAAGGGATATGGTAAATGATGATCTTTCTTTTCTCTCTCCAAGATATCCTTCACGTGCATGCCTCTCTTTCCTTATTTCCTCAAGATTCGATGTCCTACAAGATATAAGCCACAATAAGATCAAGTAGTCCTTTTACATAATATAATTTAAATTAGAAAATATAAATCATAAAGAACTTCCCTTATTCAAAAGAATCCTAATGCATGCAGGAACTCATTTGTTCAAACATCCTTGATTTCGAACTTATGCCAAAATAATATATCTTTCAATGTGAAATGACACAATTATCCTTATTATCAAAAACTGTTTTTGAAATTCCAATTTTTAGTAGTAAGGGTAATTATATCATTTCACATAACAAAAACTCATTATTTATATTTATATAAAAATTAACAATACTCCAATCTTTGCCATTGTTGCAATCAAGGACTGTTAGAAAATTTTAACGTTTGATGACGTGGCATGATAAAAGGGTAAAGCTACAATCCCATTACGGAACTATTTCGTTGGGATTTGTAACCGTTAGATCAACTATTATTGACGGTTACTTGACGATCAAAAAACTTACATGGGGCTGGAGCCCACTCTAGCCCATGGGTGGCTCCGCCCCTGATGGTGGGGCTAGTTTCGACGTCCGTCGATATGTTTATTTAATTATTATTTTTTTTCGTTTTTTTAATGTGTTTTTTTATATGGGTCTTATGTTTGACGCGTGTACGCATAAACAATTGTATATATTATTTGAATGTGTGGTATATGTATGTGTAGCCATGGATGAACTTATAAGGTTGGTTCTTGTGAAGGTGAGAAATGCAGAGAAATACAGTCGTAGGAGAACGGGCCTAGGAATAATGATTGGACCTAGCAATTAATGAAGGGAACTGAATCTGTAAAATATTGTGGCAGTTGAGACTTTTAGGTTAGGGCCCAAGTCCGGCATCAATTAACGTTTCTATGGATTTAATCATGTGTATGGACAAACATACATAAAATAATATAAATTATATGTATGTATATAATATAGAAATTATAAGTTATATAATAATATTATATTTTAAAAATTTAATCATGTGTATGGACAAACATACATAAAATAATATAAATTATATGTATGTATATAATATAGAAATTGTAAGTTATATAATAATATTATATTTTAAAAATTTAAACATTAGTTAAAATACACATTATAATTTCAAGAGATCATGACCAATTAATGAACTGAAGAAAATTAAATTTATTATTTTAACAATTGCTTATATAATTTGAAAGAGTTTGGCTATACCATTAAAATTAATCAGTTTAATTTAAAAAATTCATTCTCTTAATGAGATTAACTAAAAGATAATATTGAGTTTACACTTTACAGTAAATAAGTTGAAGAAAAGTTTTACATTATAATTATTTGTAATGATTGTGTAACTTTCATATACTATTTAGTGTAGAATATAATTAGTTAGTTTTAAAAATAATTATTATATAATATAACTATTAAAAAATATAGTTAATACTCAGTTAATATAAATGTAACAATTTTTTTTGCCATAACTAATTCCCAGAAAAGGAGTGGGAAACGATTTTTCTTTTTTGGTATTAAATTCTTTGTCCTATATATATACTACTTAAAAAATAACGTTAATGGTGGTGTTAGTCATAACGTTTTCAAATATATATATGTGATTGTTATACTTTATAAACAATTTATGAAAAAAATATAGTACATATAGCATTAAAGGTTATGAATTTGTGATTAAATAAAATTAGGGGGGCGAATAAAAGGTTATGAATGTGTAGAATAAGTTGAACTGCTAACAGCATATATGATGGAAAAACAGTGTAGTGTAACATGATCAGCCTTATGGTTAATTGTGAGACTCTATTACGGCTACTAATTAGGTAATAGAATTGTTTCGGACAAATTCGTAGTGGATAAAAAATTTAGGTTGCAATTAGGTAATTAGCATTAGTTCGGACAAGTACAATCCACCTCAAATTTAGGGTGCTCGAACTAGAGCTCGGCTCGTGAAATAAACGAGCAAAAAATTGAGCTCGAGTTCGACTCGTTAATCACTATTAACGAGTCGAGCCGAACTATAGAAAATTATATAAAAAACTATTTTCGAGCGTGATTGAATTGAGTCGAGCTTGGCTCGTTAACCAAATGAATTTTAAATGAGGTCGAGCTCAGTTTGTTAAGCCCTCAAGCTCGACCCAAACTCGAGCAGAGCCGAGTTAGGCTTGTGTAATTTAACAACACTAGTTGCATCATAGTGAAAGGATGAAATTTTCAATTCCAAAATTATGTTCGTATTTATATTTAATATTGTTGGAGGAATGATGCTTATTCATAAATCATAATGGCATCACAATTATATTCCTTTCAATCATTACTGAATGAATAAAACACTAGAATCCAACTCATGGCCATGTAATTCAACTAATCTTATCGTAGAGTTTTAAGGTTGTTGGATCACCACACAAGTCCGGTTCAAGAATTAATGGCTGCTGCCAGAAAGTGATAATGACATAAGTAAATACTCTTAGCGAGCGTTTTAAATCATTCTTTTTTTTTTATCTTTGTTTTTTATTTTTATTTTTAACTTTGTAGATATAGACTATGGTTGATAAATTTTCACTACAAAAAAATGTTATATTCCAACGGGAAATTCTACGATAATATATCCCAACAAAAATTCCAACGGATATTCCAATAGTATAGCTTCCGTTGGAATTATTCCAACGTAATTCCAACGAAAATATTCCGTTGAAATGAATTTTCCACTGGAATTTTAGATGGAATTTGATGATTCCAACAGCTACTATTCCAACGGATTTTTACCGTAGGAATTTCCGTCGGAAAATGCAATTTCCGTCGGCATTTTTATTTCCACCTCCGTTGAAAAATCTACCGTTGGAATCTTCAAAATCCAACGGAAATTCTAATGGAAAACTCATTCCAACGGAATATTTTTGTTGGAATTTCCGTTGGAATTCCATTAAAATAAATTTGTATTGGAACTTTCCGTTGGAATTTGATCATTTTGTTGTAGTGTTTGTTGATAAACTAGTTGATAGTTTATAAGTCAATTTCGAGTTTATAGCTGATAGCGTATGGCTGAAAGAATATTTATATGATAAAAGTGTTTGGTAAAATTAATTGATAAGCCAATTAAAATAAAAATTCCAACGCATTTATTTGAGAAATTACATAACAAAGCTTTATAAGATAAAGTCAGGATGTTTAACAAAAAGCTCATCCTACCTAACTAAGCTCGTCCTACCAAAATCAACATGCTAAGAATATTAATAGTGCTGGAACTTGGGGACTCACCTGGATACATCCCGCGATTTACCTCTCTAAGTAACTAAGGGGTCAAGGGCTTAGGGTTCAATATTAATCTAGTGGAAGCCGAGAAACATGGATCATTAAAACACACACATATATATATCCCAATAATTTTATTATATAATATGGTTTACTTGTTGTATATAGAATGTTGGATTCACTATGCAACCAACTGTTGGTTCCATAGTGAAGTCAAAATTCTATATACAACAAGTAAACCATACTATATTCTCTAATTACTTAAATATCAATAATTTTATTAATATGGTATGATTTACTTGTTGTACATAGAAGGTTGACTCCATTATGGAGCCAACTGTTGGCTTCATAGGAAAACTGAAGCCAACAGTTGGTTGGTTCCATAGTGAAGCCAACCTTCTATATACAACAAGTAAAACATACCATATTCAGGTATTATTTAAGTAATTAGAGAATATGATATGTTTTACTTGTTGTATATAGAAGGTTGACTTTATTATGAAACCAACTGTAGACTTGATAGAAAAATTGATATATTCCATTTTATTCTCTCTAATTTGTTGTATAACATGTCGCTTTCTAGCTGTTGCACCAAGAGTTTACCTAAAATTGATAAATTTTAAAAAGACAGGATTACTATGATGATTAATCGGATTCCAATTGAACTATTTTTGGAACATCTACGGAGTTCCGGGACCACTTTCCATTAAGTCATATATATGTGGTGTTTTAGCTAACGTGACATGTGGAATGTGGTGTCTTTTCCTGCAACACATGTAGAATTGTGTTGAATACTATTATTTTGATTATAGAAATGTTATAGGTACATTATATGGTACATAAAAGTGTACATAATACTCACATTAAGTAGATCATACCAAAAATACAGATGAGAAATGTTATAGGTACATAATATTATAAATAAATATGTAAATAACACTCATATTAAGTGAGTCCTATCAAAAATAAAAAAACAAGTAAATCATACTCCATGTGAGTATTATATACACCTATATGTACATCTATTGCTTAGTTGTTGAAACATTTCTTCAATGGAGATATATGTGATAGTTGCAAAACATGTCCAATTGCTGCTTGAATTATTTATTTATTTATTTATTTTTTCACTATGATCATTGATGATCGACATTTTTTCATTCAATTCATGACGTAATTAGAATGACATTATATGTCATGATTACATAGGCATCAGCATTTTAGGGTGCAATTACTAAAAGTGACCTCATTCTCAAGCAAGACAAGCACTATCTGATTTATGTCGTACACGGAAAATTGAATCTTTGGCAATAATTGAATATTGAAAAACACACACCACAAAGACTCAAAGAGATGAAATGATTGCTCCACAAATACATATAGTAATTGCATATACGTTTGTTTCACACACAAAGGTTGTCCCTTGAATAACAAGAACCACGGGATATAACAAACACTGCTGCAATGACATCTTTTGCCAGCCAAACAAAACCAGAAACACAAATTATAATTATACAAGATATATGTAGCGCATACCAAATATTGGCATTATATCACAATGTTTTCTTTTTTGTTAAAAAAAAAAACCAACAGAACTTAAAATTAATCAAGAGGCAGTGTTAATTTGAAGGGCTAATTGGGTCTCTCCTTGTGTCAGATCTTTGTGACCGTTGATCGTGTTATTATGATTCTCGTTGTGAACATTATTGTTGCTGCTAATGTTATTATTTTCGTTTTTGGTTTTTTTAATGTCGCCGTAAAGGTACGACATAAATCCCCATAGAGAGAGAAAGAGAGAGATGCCCTTCTCGGATTTGAACTTCTCGTTGTAGAAAAAAACGGCTAAAACTTCGGTTACCGGGAGAAAGACGGCCATAATTACGCCGGATAATAGGGAAGACGAGTAGAAAATCACACCAATGGCTCCCAAGAAAAAGCATTGCCATACTAGGGCACTAGAAATCACCACCACATAGTATTTTGTCTCCCCAAGTTGGTATGCTTTTGCTTCTCCACCTATTGCCTAATAAATTCAAATAAATAAATAAATTAAATTAAGTAATTGTGTAATTATAAAGAGTAGAGTGCTCAAGTTTTTTTGGTCGCGCGATGTATGTTTTAGTCAGTTTGGCCTGCAAATCAGTATGTCAAATGGCATGGAAAAGTAGATTTAGTTTTTTTGGGCTCGAACTATACGTGTGTTGAATTAAAGCTCTAGAACTCCTTATATATGAGAAACAAATGAATAAATTATATTTTCTCTTTTTTTTTTTTTCTCTCTCTTTTATTTCTGGTTATACATAGATGGGCATGAAATTTTCATTTATTTGTAAGGAATTGTCAGAATAAGGTACTAGCTATAGGCATATATAGATTTTATTAATAAATTAAACAAAAATATTTCAGGTCTGAAAGTTTTTTCTTTTCAGTTCCAATAAATAGTTTGCAACCACGACACTGTTTCTTGATAGTGAGAAATATTTCTTGATATTAATAAACGTTTTCAATTTAACACACAAATCCTATACGTTTTAGGGAGAACCTATAATTTCATTTATTAAGTACTAACTAGTACGTACCCCGTGCGATACACGGGAGAGAGATATTAAATGAATTATTTTCACAGGCTCTGTCCGTTTAAGTCTGAGAAGATCATCCATTTTCCACCTCTTTTAACACCGTTAAGTCCCGTTTAAGTCTGAAAAGGGTTATCATCTATTTTCCACCTCTTTTAATCACCGTTAAGTCTAAAAAAATAAGGTTGTAATCTATTTTTCACATCTTTTAATCAGCGTTGTTTTATTAGTCAGAACATTAAACGTGAGCATGTTAGGGCTAACTTGTAAAATAATTAATATATTATCTCACTAACACATTTATACTAATATAAATTTAATTTTATTATATATATTTATTCCTTGATATAAGAGAAAATAACAATTTTACTTATTCTTATTCACTATATAATAGTTAATTATTATTTTACTATAAATTCTGTTGCCATATAATGTCATTATTATTTATAAAGTTATTGAAGTTGCACGTCTTCTTGTTATTTTTATTTTATGTAATGAAATATATTTAATGCACGTTGGTATTATTTATATAAGTAATCAATTTAAAATATGTAAATAAATTTAAAATTAAATAGTGTATAAATAATGTACAAAATATACGCATATATTTTTTAGAATTTAATTTTGTATACTAATTAAACAACTTTGATTTAAAAAAAGACATGAACTCAATCTCTTCTAATATTAGTATTTTTCTAATTTGCATTATAATGATTATTCTTATTATATATATAGATTAGAATTTTTGTGACACCAACCAAACTAAATATCACTACAACCAAGTAACAATTATGAAAAACCCATAACACAACAACTATCAATTAAATTTGGTAATAGAAAAATTACATACATATATATAAAAATATGAAGATTCTATATTTCTATTCACTGATGTATACAACACGTGTATATTTTGTTAAGGTGTATTGGAATGTTCAATTTCATAGCATGATAATAATCAGTCTTAAAAAATTGAAAATCTTATAGAAATGCCATATTTTTCTGTTAAAAAAAAAAGTTCCCATAAAAAATAATTATATCATAGCAAATTCATTGTGTAATAGAACAAATTTCTATAATGAAACCCGATTTTCTGTACAAAAATAAAGCAACAACTTCCACATTTTAAGGAAATCAATTAATGTTGGTCGGTTTTTGCTAAGAAAATAATAAATAAATAAATTGTAATTAATGGAAAGTAATTAATGATGAGAGAATTTGACCATATAGTTGACCTGCCATTTTTTAAAAATGGTAATTCTTATTATATATATAGACAAATAAATCAGTTAAATAAAATATTAATACCAAAATAATAATGACATTTAATGCAGTGGACTTTTTTGGATACTAAATGTAGTAAACAGGATCCCCTTTTATATAAGTATAGATTTGGTCTTTGAGACTGAGTTTGTACACAATTTTATACTTAATTTTTTTAAAGAGAAGTACTTGCTTCAAATTTTAAATACTCTTTTAGAAAAATTAAATTATTATTTGTATTAAAATGATATATGTCACTAGCACGACTTCTCAGTCTTAATTATATTATAATTGTTTTTCTAACATATATAATATAATAAGCTTATAGATAAATTTATTTAATTGATAAATAATTTTATTGATTTGTAATTAATATCGATAAATAATTTATTTTTTATCATAAGAATTTATTTATTATATTCAACATACATGTCAAATTGAAGTTTATCAAAAAATAATTAATTCCATATATCATGTAAGAAAAGAAAAATGACACTAAATATTAACTTTTAAAATATATTTATCATACAAGTTAGTTTTGTTTATATAATTTTAATAGTTCTACTATGCATGGATGGTCCATATTTACATAAATTGACATATGAAATACCATATATAGTTGACCCATAGACTAGAAAGTTTCGACATTAATATTAATGGAGACATAAGAAATTCATGGATGGTCCATATTTACATAAATTGACATATGAAATACCATATATAAGTTGGCACATAGGCTAGAAAATTTTGACATTAACATTAATGGAGACATAAGAAAATTGATATTTTTTTAATAATATTTTATATATCTATGTAACAAATTAACAACTTTTTTCTAACATTAATGGACTGGCCACCCCTAGTTTTATAAATACTATCCAATAAAATACTTTTCAAATTTTTATTAAAATGTTTTGCTTAATAAATATAAATACTATCCAATAAAATATTTTTCTCATCTCAAATTTTGGCCGCGCGCATATTAAATCATGTGGATTGTGGAATGTGAACACTCAGAAATATCTATCTTCTATCATCGATTTCCTTTTACAGTAAATCTAAATGGATAGAGTAGTGTAATGTGAACTTAATCTCATAGAACTCGAGGCTTTAATAATTGGATCTGAGCTTGACTTTGTCAACTCAACTAGCTAGAATGAGTTAGAACTCGAATTTTAACTTATTTATGAAAACTTATATTAAAAAACAAAATTATCTTTCAAACTTCAATAAGTCTGAGCCAAGTTTAGAAACAATATAATATATTGAGAAGCACTTTAATTTATATATATTATTATTGTTTTTAAAAATTTCGTGCCTAGGTGTCTTGTATGAATAGCCGTGAAAAAATTTGGTCAGAAAGAGAGATTGAATCTACTCATTAAAAATTAAAAAAGCACAGTATGTAACAGACATGGAAACACTTTTAGCAATAAACGAAGAAAGAAATAAAAAAAATAAAAAAAGTGGTGACCTGAAAATCGCCGTTGGCAATCATCCCCACCGTGCAAAACGCCGTGGCGAAAAAGCACATGACGAGCTGGATCTCAAGCGCGAGCGTGAATGTCACCGCCTGCCTGGCCTTCTTGTACGTAAGCTCAATCAGCGGCAGCACGAACCCGTACAGCGCCGCCGCCGCCACCGTCATGACGAACCCGGTCCAGTACTCCTTCCCCGTCACCCCGGCCGGCCGGTCCCCGCTCGTGTGCAGGCCCAGCACCACCGCCCCAAGCGTCAGCAGCACCACCGAGTTCACCGAGTACGCCGTGAAGCGCTGCCGGACGAGGACGAACGCAAACACCGCCGTGAACGCCAGCTGGGTCGCGATGATGAGGGATGACGTGGACACGGGGAGCTTGGCCACGCCGTAGGCGTACAGGTAGTCGTCCAGCCCCGTCAGGACCCCGATCGTGGCCGCAGCGAGGAACACGCGCGGGCCCATCAGGATGGGACGCGCCGCCGCGTCGGCGCGTCGGCGGAGGGAGTAGGAGGCAGCGAGGGGGAGGAGGGTGACGGGCCAGCCGCCGGTCTCGAGCCAGCTGGAGAACCAGACGCGGGTGCCGCCGCGGAGGAAGTAGAGGCGCATGATGAGGGGGCCGCCGCTGATGCCGACGGCGAGGAGGACGGCGTTGGTGATGAGGAAGGCTCGCTTCATGGCGGCGGAGGTTTGGATTTCCATTGATTTTGTCGTTTTCTGCTGCTACCGATTTTCAAAGTTTGGGGGGCAAATATCTCGAGCGTCGGGCGCTCTTGATGACTTATTAGTTATTACTCGGTCGGGAGTGTGAACATGAATTGTGTCAATTCTTTCATTGTTGAATAAACATGTGTATATAAATGAACTAGTACAGAGCCCGTGCGATGCACGAGTTGCACAATTTTAAGGCTATTTATCCAGCTTATAATTATATACATGAATAAAGAAAAATGTACGGGATATATATTGTACGTGACCCGTGCGAAGCACGAGATATATTTATTTGGAGAATATTATATTATAAGATGCAATATTCAATAAAAGTTTATAATACGCAAGAAACTGTACAATGTTCAATAAAAGTTTTATAATATTCAAATGGAGTCTTAAAGTCTCTTGTACATTAAGACTACTGACAAAATAATATTTTAATCAATGAGTTTCATTTCCTTGTAGCCAAATTGTGAATGTGATTTGAGGAGTACAACAAATCGATATATAGCTGACTTGTTTTTTTCATTGTAGTTTTTTTTTTTTTTAATAATGAATTTAAAAATATTCTAAAATATAACAAAAATTAATTTTTTTATTACAATTAGGAATTTTACTAAATATA